AATCACATTCCTTTACCAATCTTCAATCCATTCCTTAAATAATCAACCATCAATCAATTAACCCTTAATTCTATTAAATGATCAATTCTATTTTAATCCTCCTAATACTCTTTCTATTTACCTCTAATCACACTTTTATGGCTTAATTCCTCATTTTTCCTAAATTCTTTCCGATTAAAACCTAAATTTAGATTTTCACTATTCATCGTCTTTAACCTCTCAATTTCTCAAATTCACTTAACTTCACTTCAAATTAACTTCATTCATCACTTATCCAAGATACCTAAACATCATTTAAGTCATTATAATCACTCGGGGTCACTTTTTTTCCAAATGGGTCTCAAAATCCAACCTTACTATAATCAATTCCTTAAGCAAATCACAATCCAATCTAATTGCATCTTAATATCATGATTAACTACATATAAACTTCACAATTTAAAGATCAACTGATCAAATATCTTACCTTTACACAATGCTCTTCAAATCCCAAATTCTTCCTAGTTTTCCAAACTTCTCAAGCTTCGAGCTAGCTAGACTCCAATTGAATCCTCTTACTTATGGTCTTCATAAGCTAACTAAATAATGGATTAGCTTAGGAATTGAAGAGAAAATTGGGAGAATATTTGGAAGAAAAATCATGTGAGAGAGGGAGAGAAAAGGGAGAAAAAATATGAAAAAAGAGGGCAATTACTACTCCTTTAATACCAGTCCTTTTTTTTTTTTTAAATTCGAGTTGCTACAACAACACCACCAAAAAGCATTAAAGAAAAAAGAGAAACAATAATTGGCAAATCAATAATATAATAAATACCAATAGAAATCAATCAATAATTTTAGGGCCAACAAAGGGATGGTTGTACATGTTGGAAGAACAAAAACGTATGAGTTAGAAAGATGCCTTTGACATGATTATTATTGTTGCTATTAAAAAAAATATTTGATAGGATTTTATAATTAGGAAAATCAGATAATTCATTCTTTGAAGTGATCATCTTTTTTTTCAATTGAATGGTTGTGAGTATATTTGAATTAATTAAAGCTAAATCTTTTTTATATATAATTTTAAAAACCCATTCTCTCGTATAGATTCAAAATCTCTATAGAAATCTTTATGTTAAAATTTAAATTCAGTAAAAAAAAAAGATAGAGGAAATTTACATGACTTTCGAGCTAACCTATTAACATCACCTACTTTTTATAATAATAGTAATTAGATTTCCTATCTTATCCGTATATGCTTAATCTCTTCATAAAAAATAATTAAAATTTTAGTCAATTTTATTATGTATTAATTCTCGTTATTTTTCTTAATTTTGATATGAATTAAAATTACACAAGAAATGGATTGGATCTGAAGATGAGTTTTGTCTAGTACAAGACTTTAGGTTTTGCAAAGATAGACACGGATGTTCTAACAGATATGTCCATGTCTTATTTTTTGGATGTATTAATAAGATTGATTTGATAGATTTCGAGCAAGATCAGCCTAAGTAAAAGCCAATTGCTATTTTTGTTAGTCTTTCCTAACAAGTTGAAACAATGTGACCTAAAAGAATACAATTTATTCAAACCAATTCTGACCATTATTGGTCTTTGTTTAACAAAGGATAGTGATCTTTAACCTCTACTTTATTTATTTGTTTATTTTTAATAAGTTGGCATTGATTTACTAAAAAGTAGAAGGAATGCTTTTTTGGTTATTGTTCTTTTTAAGCATTTGCATTTAGGAATTAGGATGCAAAGGAGAAAATAAACAATGTTTGTGTGATAATTGATGTGAATTTTTTCAATTTTGTGAGAACGTAGTTTGGTAAATGTCTCACCGTTTGTTAACACTATTGTAAAAAAAAATTAGGTGGAGTGGTAAACTGAATATCTATGACTTATTGAGTTAGTAGTTTGGTTTTTATGTTCTTGCTTTCTTTTGTTTGACATTGGATATAGACTAAAAAAAATCTAGCTTTTAAAATCGATTAAAAATTAAATATAATTCAACATTGATTTAATCTAAAAAATAATAAATTTAATCTTAATTAATGTAAATACTAATTTAAAAATATCCTACTATCTCTAAATCTATGTATGTAAAAGTTAACTTCCACTACCAAACTAATCTTTGGGCAGAAGTGGAAAAAAAATTATTAGGAGAAGAGTAAAAAATATAGAAGTTAAATTACACTGCCAACCAATCTTTGGACAGAAGTCAATAACATCCCCTACCAAACTAATATTTGGACAGAAGTGAAAAAAGAAGGGGGAGTGGCGTGTGGGGGTACTGATGTATTAAGTATTTTAGCATGATCAGAATCCTACTCGTAACTTACTTGAATTTAATTGAATGAACAATTCATTAAAAGAAAAGAAAAGGTCAATTCAATTCATCTGTTGCTAGAATTCGAAATGCTAAAAAAATAACCTCTATATATAAGTAACTTATATACACTTTATTTTGATTATAAATTTTTTAAAAATTAATGCTTAAAAAAACCAAATAATGCTAATTAAGAGCATCAAAATTCAAAAACAGTGAAAACATAAAAAAAAATAATAATAATTTGTGAAGAATTTGGATATTGATTGTTCTATCACGGAAAAATCCTGATAATAATGGAATAAAAAGAAATCCAAGTTTATAGAACTTTCATTCATGATCGAAATCATATATATATATATATATATATATATAGACAGATCGAAGATAATTTTTATCAAATTTTTTTTTTTTTTACGTTTTTTTTCCTATCTTTTAATAAGGTTACTCCTTATCGTCAAAGGATCATATTACCCAAAAACTTAAGTCGTTAGGTGAGACCCTAAAATATGATTTATATTATTCTTTAGTACATCTCTTCAAGTGAAAGCTCTCTAGGCTTGAAACTTGCACGAGCCCATACTAACTTGTGCTTAATTAATTAGAAGAAAATATGGGAGTGGTAAGATTCAAACTCGCCATCGTTTGGTCATCAAAGCTCCGATATCATGTCAAATGATCATTTCACTTAAAAGTTTAAGCTTTTAGGTGAGGCTTTTAGATGAGACCCTAATATATGATTTATATTATTCTCTAACACTTACTATGTATATAATTATTACGAGTTTCTAACGAATAAGTGGCGAAGCTAGGAATATTTTATTGGAGAAGCCGAATTATAATACTAAGGTTAATTTTATGAGTATTGCTAAATTCATCAATAAAATTATTATTCTCAACACTTTTTTAGATAACTATCAATATATCCTTCGTAAATTAAAAATTAATGTTGAAAAAATATATTTAATAATAGTTAACTTTAAGGAAGATTATATGATTTTGTGTTTATGAATCTAACTTTTGTTGTTGGATAATTAATAGCATGTATGAATTCATATAGTAAAAAAAAATTATTAATTTTTTAAAAATAATAATTTAAATTTTTTTAAAAAATAAAATGCTTAAATTAACTTTCGTCAAATTGATAATATTGATTTTATTTTATTACAATTCATTAACCCAATATATTATGGGATAATGGATAAGTTCATAGAAATGTTAGGTCAAAGACCTAACACAACGATTTGTCCCGTATGTATTGTTGTATTATTGCGTTAAGCCAATTAGTATTTCCCTTTTTTTTTAAAAAAAAAAAAACAGCCATAAAGGGGAGAGGCAATGGGGTGAAAACGACTTGGGCAGCTACTTGTGTTTTTTCAACATTTTCTGTTAATTTAAATTGAATATAAAGCATGAAAATCAAATTGTATCATTGTTAGTGTAGTGCATAGGTAAAGTCCTCTATGTTGATGAGGGTTTGAATTACAACCTAAGGAAATAATAATTAACTTTTTTCATTATTTCAGAAATTTATTATGAATTTTTTTGTTTTAATTTGAAATAAATTTTCATAATAAATTTTTGAAATAAATAAAAAAATTTTGCTTCTATTCCTTCCTATTCATAAAAAAATTTCTTTTTTTTTTTTTTGAATCTGAGAGAAAAAAAAATTAAGATGTGAAATTAATTAATTATTTTTATATTTAAAGGTAGATAAAAAGAAAAGAATTTTGAGATTTTTTATTTTTGTTAAAAAATTTAATGTCATATGTAATTATCCTGTTAGTTTTAAATTTAAAATTATCGTCGTTGTCTGAAAATTTAAAAATTTAGATGAAAGCATCAAATTCAAATATAAATTAATAGTAAAAAAATTATGATTATTAAAAAATTTAGTTAAAATATTCGATTAAGATAAATAAAATGATAGTGAGATATAATGGACCTTTAACACGCTAATTTAGATGCTTTTGTAGACCTACATGTGGGCAGAGCAGCGAGGTTAAGAAAAAGCATGGAGGACTGCAGAAACAGTGAAAAGTGGGGTCACTGATCATGTGACGTATGTACCTAAAAAAACATAAAAGATGTTTATTTAATTCATCGATAATGCAACCTTTTTCTACTATTAATGTCATAAAGGTTTTCTTTATAAACTTGAAAATTAATTTTGTAAAAAATAAAAAATATTATAATATATATAAAGAAAACATATAAAATTATATTTTTTTCTTCAATTATGCTATACAATATAGGATTATAATAAATATCATGTATAAACTTATTTTTAGATAGAAAATGAAAAGGGGCTAGAAGACTACTTAATTAATTTTAGAGACAAATTAAATATATATACATGTAAAAGCTAATTTGTGTGTGTATATATATATATATATATATAGGAGTGAAACAAGCTCAAGTATTCATAAACCACTCTAAATATTGGATCCATTTTACACCAACCAATCATGCAATATTTTTAACCCATGTATGAATCCCATTTATGCATGTAATAATTTTCCGGACTTTCACACACCCACATGCCCCCTATTAAAGAACGATTTTCGAGATGGAATCGAGTGAACCATTTGAAACTTTCTGTTTATTATCCTAATTATATATAGAGAGAGATCTTCACAATAAACTTCATTCTCCAGAGTCTTCCTAAAACTAAAATACCCACAAGATGGCAAGTGCTTCCCTTTTTCATCTTTCTTTGGGTACTTGTTCTAATACGAACACTACTCATGATCCTCAGGTAATAGGGAAGACCGGAAATGAGAGTAAGCCACTACCTTACAGCCTAAGTAACCATGCAAATCTTTGGAAGGGAATGTCTATTAGTCTTAGCGTCCCCAGCCGGCCCACATTTCATTCTTTTCGGTCTCATGGATTGCTTGCTTCAACTGTCGAAACCAAGCCTAAAGATGATCTCCAAGAGTTGCTGCCAACCTTCCCAGTGAGAAAAATTGGGATGGCAATTTACTCTATCTGTATGAAGGGGTTTGGTATCCAGCGTTTACACTTAGTGCAGTACTTTCCTTTCAACAACATTTTATAGAGCAAGACACTGATATAATAATAGCAAGCATGCCTAAATCAGGCACCACTTGGTTGAAAGCACTCACTTTCTCCGTAGTAAACCGCAACCGCTACAGTCCTAAGGAGAGTCCTCTACTTACCACCCCACCACACGAACTAGTACGTTTCTTTGAGATTGATCTTTACATTAAAACCAATCAACCAAATCTTGAACGATTTCGTGCTCCTAGAATTTTCGGTTCTCACACCCATTATGCATCTTTGCCAGAGTCCATTAGAGATTCTAAGTGTAAAGTTGTGTACATCTGTAGGAATCCTTTGGATCAGGTTGTCTCTTATTTTCATTTTGTTCACAAGTTCAAACGAGAAAATGCCACTGACTAACCTTTATCATCAATTGATGAAGGTTTCGATAACGTTTGTCGTGGTATCCAAAGTCATGGACCCTTTTGGGATAGTGTGTTGGGTTATTGGAAAGCAAGCTTCGAAAGACCAGACAAGGTGCTGTTTTTGAAATACGAAGATTTGAAAGATGATATTGTCATTAACTTGAAAAGGTTGGCTGAGTTCTTGGAGCATCCCTTCACCGAGGAAGAAGAAAAAGAAGGGGTCATAGAAGAGATATCAAGGTTGTGCAGCTTTGACAGTCTCAAGAGTTTGAAGGTCAACAAAAAAGGTGTCCGTCCTTATTCTGGAGCTCCAAACAGTTCCTTCTTCAGTAAAGGAGAGGTGGGAGATTGGGGCAACTATATGAATCCTGCAATGGCTGAACGTTTTACAAACATAGTGGAAGAAAAATTGGCTGGATCTGGTCTAGTCTTCAAAATGTCTTAGTGAGTCCAAATTAAAGAACGATTTCGAGATGGAATTGAGTGCCTAACCATTTGAAACTTTCTGTTTGTTATAAGGTTTATCCTAGTTTTTGTTGAGTTTATGCTATTACCCTAATAGTATGCCATGTAATTTTTTTTTCTAAATTATGTCAAAGCACCTAGGCGTGGTTAGAAGACGCTCTACAACGCTAGATCTTGGATATTTTAAGAGTAAATTCTCAAAAATTGATCTCTAAACCTGGATTAACTATATTATTTTTAATAAATAAAAAACTTCTTGGATCATTTTTTTTAGTCTCAAACCTACTTGATATTACGCAATACTCTTAAAAATCGACATATTACACTAATCCTTTATCACACATCTAATATCACGTGATTGTTGGAAAATAATTCAAGTTTGGATAAGTTTTTTACCGAGCCTTCGAGTATGCCTTTTATTTAGATGTTTCTATTAAATGATTGTGGTAGAATGAGTCAAGCGATGGTCTAATCCACTAAGTATTTGTTATTATGTGTTAATGAGTTGTTAGCAAATGAAGGAGTAGTGGCCACATGGGTTAACAACCGGTGGAGATTTTCCTATTTAAACACTTCTTATTGAGTCTTTGTTGTGTCAACTACTCGTGTAAGACAATTCAAGTCATAAAATTATCTTTTCTTTCATCCAAATACGTGTAAGTGTGAGTTGATCTTTGAGTGGGTTCCACATTATCCTATCGGTATGGTATCGGAGCGAGGTCTTGGAGTGTCATTTTTTGTTATTTTCAATTATGCCACGTGACACTTCAAGAACCGCTTCTACTAGTGTTATTTCAACCTCATCTCAAAATGTTCTTGTATTTGATGGTCTTAACTACTAGTTTTGGCATAGAAAGATGAGGACTCTGTTCATGTTCTATGATTTATAGGACCTTATTGAAAATGGATTTGATGATCTTGCGGATGCGAAAAGGTTGACTGCAGCTCAACGTACCGAGTTGAAAGAGAAACAAAAGAAAGATACGAAAGCTTTATTCTTGATCCAGCAAGCATTAGATGATGCCATTTTTCCATAGGTAATGGCTATTGCGACATCCAAGGAAGCGTGGGACCTTCTTGAAGAAGAATATCAAGGCAATAGCAAAGTTGTTACTCGTAAAGTTGCGGACAATGCGTTGAGAATTTAAGAATTTGATGATGAAACCATCCGAGTCCATTCAAGAATTTTTTTCAAGAGTTTAATCGGTAATAAACTAGATCGGATCCTTAGGAGAAGAATTGACGGACCGTAAAGTTGTTGAGAAGGTCTTATGAAGCTTTCCTTCCAAATTTGATCATGTTGTTACTTGCCATAGAAGAATCCAAGGATTTACCCGACTATTCTCTCCATGAGTTGATGGGGTCTCTCCAATCTCATGAGCGGCGGATGAATAAGACATCGGGAACACCTCTCCAACAAGCTTTTCAATCAAAGATTGATTTGAAAAAAATTTCAAATGGCTTGAGTCATGGAAACTCAAGCCGAGGTCGTGGCGAGATCATCTCATAGAAGAGGAAGAGGTAGAGGTATAAACAATGGCCAGCAAAGAAACTCTAATGAAGGTAACAATTCTAACTCTTCTAATTGCTCATATTGTGGAAGATCGAATCATGAAGATAAAGATTATTGGTTTAAAGAGAAGAATGGGTAAAACGAAAATTCTCTTTAATGTAATTATTGTAGAAGGCATGGTCATATTGAGAAAAACTATTATAAAAAGGTTGTATACCAATCTAATTCACATGAAGAAAAGGATAGTTTGGAAAAAAACATGTTTCTTGCTTGCCTATTTGCTCACGATGACAATGTTGGAAATGTGTGGTATCTTGATAGTGGTTGTAGTACTCACATGACTAGCAACAAAAAGCTTTTGTTGAGATTGATGAGTCCTTGAAGACACAAATGAGAATGGGGAACAATATTCGTGCTCGGGTATGTGGAATTGGAACTATTTCGTGATGTCAAAGTTTAGACAAAAATATTTACATGATGTTATGTATGTTCCTAGCTTAGTACATAATTTGCTCGGTGTGGGTCGATTGATGAAGAAAGGCTACTATGTTGTGTTTGATAATTATGAATGCATGGTATATGATAAGAGGAGCATGCACTTACTCTACTCATCTAAAATGGGAAAAGATAAGATGTTTCCTCTTGTGATTTCGAAATTCCCATTAATGCCTTTAATGTAATTAGTGATGATTCCTCACTTTGGCATCAAAGATTTGGTCACTTTAATTTTGATAAACCGACTTTGTTGAGTAAGAAGAATATGGTGGATGGTCTTCCAAAGATCAAAATTAAAACGCAGCCTTATGAAGCATGCATTTATGGGAAGCATCATCGAGATAAATTCCCTAAAAAAGTTCTTAGAGAGCTTCAAAGCCTTTGATGCTTGGTTCATACAAATATGTGCAAGCCAATGCAAACACCCTATTTGAGTGAAAGTACTTCTTAACTTTCATTGATGACTTTTTAAAAATATGCTTGGGTGTATTTTTTGAAAGAGAAGTCGAAGTTTTTTAATGCTTTAGACAATTTAAAATGATGGTGGAGGACCAAAATGGTTGCTCTCTTAAGACACTTCACACCGACCGTGGTGGTGAGTTCAATTTCACAGATTTTAATAACTTTTGCAGCACTCATGGCATCCAAAAGCAACTCACAACAAGATATACTCCCCAGGAAAATGGAGTCACCGAGCAAAAAAATAGAACAATTGTTGAGGTCTGCCTAAAGCATGTTGAGAGATAAAAATCTTTCGAAGAAGTTTTTGAGTCGAAGCTATAAGTGTTGTTGTCTATCTTCCCAATTGGTTTCCAACTTAAGCTATTGAAAGAATGACTCCTTATGAAGCATGGCAGGGCTATAAACCCAATGTAAGTCATTTGAAAACATTTGGTTATATTGCTTATGCCTTTGTACCAACCGAATTGAGAAGAAAGCTTGATGATAAGAGTGTTAAATGCATTTTTGTTGGCTATAGCAAAGAAACTAAAGGTTATAGACTTTATGATCCTATTTCGGACAAATTAAATATTAGTTGTGATGTGGTGTTTAATGAAAATGAGGCATGGATTTGGAAAGAGGTTGATTCACGATCACTAATACGATGGAAATTGCTGATTTTGAGATTAACGACCCACATGAATCACCATTATCATCTTCGGAATCAATACCGAGAAGGGTAAAGAGTCTTACCGAAATTTATCAATCATGTGAATATGCTTGCTTGACTTTGGAACATAATTGTTATGAAGATACAGTAGAGAAAGAAGAATGGCATATGGTTATGGTCGAAGAGATCAAAGCAATCGAGAAGAACAAAACATAGACCTTGATGGATTTATCGAAAGGGAAAGAAACAATCGGTCCGAAATGAATTTTCAAGTCCAAGCTCAATGCGGATGGTTCCTTGCAGAAGAATAAAGCATGATTGGTGGCTAAAGGATATGCACAAGTTTTAAGTATTGATTTCACCGAAACTTATACTCTAGCTGCTCGTTTTGACACCGTTAGAACTTTTTGGCTTTGGAAGCCCATAATGGTTGGGCGATCTATCAACTGGACATAAAATCAGCCTTTCTTAATGGTGATTTATTAAAGGATGTGTATGTTGAGCAGCCTTAAGGCTTTGTGGTGAAAGAACAAGAACATAAAGTATACAAATTGCACAAGGCACTCTATGGGCTCAAACAAGCTCCTCGAACTCGGTACAATAAAATCAATGCTTAGTTTGCTCAAAATAATTTTTAAAAGAGTGCTAATGAGCCCACTTTGTATGTTAAAAAACACAATAATGATTTCTTGGTCTGTTTGCTTATATGTTGATGACATGGTTTATACTTGGAAGTTCTTTTCAAATGGTGGAAATGTTTAAAAGGTCCATTATGCAAACTTTTGAAATGTCCGATTTGGGTTACTTGCATTATTTTTTGGGAATTGAAGTGGTGCAAGATTCAAATGAAATTTTTATTTTTCAAAAGAAATATGCAGCTGATTTGTTGAAAAGAACGAGGAATAGGGAATTGCAAGCTAGTCAAGACTCCATTGAATACAAATGAGAAGCTATCTTTGAATGATGGAGTAGAAACGATTGATGAAAAGCGATTCGAAGCATTATGGGAAGTCTCATGTATCTCACTCATACAAGGCATGATATAGTTTTTTTCGTGAGTCTCATTTTCAGATTTATGCACAACCCAAGCAAGAACAATTTGGGGGTAGCAAAAGGAATTCTTCTTCATGCTCGAGGGACTTCAAATTTTGACATCGAGTATTTAAAAGGAAAATCAAATAACCTTGTTGCTTTTACCGATAGTGGTTGGGCATCTTGTATAAATGTTAGAAAAAACACAACGGGCTATGCTATTAGTCTTGGTTCAAGAGCTATTTCATGGTCCTCAAAGAAACAAGCATAGCACAGACTCTTTCAAGTACAAAAGCAAAGTATGCAGCGAGTAATAATAACAACTTGTCAAGTGGTTTGGTTAAGGAGAATCTTAGAAGATTTGAAGAAAGAACATAATAGAGCCACTGTGGCATTTTGGGACAATAAATCCACAATTGTAATGTCAAGAAATCTAGTTCAACAAGGAAGAACAAAACATGTTGAGATCAAGCATCATTTCATTCGCAAGTTGGTTGCAAAAGGTGTAGTGGAGTCGCAGGTACATCAACACGAGATGACCGATCGACGAGATATTTTCAAAAAGGCCTTAGTTAAACCAAAGTTCAAGAAGTTTCATTCCATGATGGGTGTTGAAGAGTTAAAGACCTCCTTGAATTAAGAGGAGGAATGTTGGAAAATAATTCAAGTTTGGATAAGTTTTTTATCGAGTTTTCGGTATGCTTTTATTTAGATGTTTCTATTAAATGGTCGTGGTAGAATGAGTCAAGGAGTGGTCCGATCCACTAAGTGTTTGTTATTACGTGTTAATGAGTTGTTAGCAAACTAAGGATTAATGGCCACGTGGGTT